TGATACTATTTATACTGATATAAGCAAGGCTTTTGACACCGTTAACCATGGAATTCTTCTATGTAAGCTCTCACGGTTTGGTGTTGCGGGTAGACTTCTTGAATGGTTTGCCTCTTACCTAGAACTTCGCACTTCTAAAGTGGTTATGTGTGGTTTTTCATCATCTCCATTTGTTTCTACATCCGGCGTTCCTCAGGGGTCCCACCTTGGCCCAATCCTCTTCAATATATTTATCAACGATGTTGTTCACGTCTTTAAACACGCTACCTGTTACCTGTATGCTGACGATATGAAACTAGCTATGCCAGTCCGCTGTAGTGAAGACTTTTCGTTACTACAGGAAGATTTGAACAACCTAGCCAGGTGGTGTGCTGATAATAAATTAACTTTAAATGTTGATAAATGTAAGCACATTCGATTTACTAGATGCAAGAACATAACGAGTCACACTTATGACATCGATGGTTGTGTGTTAGAGGAGGTGGACTCAGTGCGTGATTTAGGTGTAATGTTAGATAAAAAATTACTCTTTAATAAGCATGTGGATGCCATTGTGACAAAAGGATTTCAAATGCTGGGTTTTGTGCTGAGAAACGCTAAGGAATTTAAAAGGGCTTCCACTAAGGTTTTGCTATTTTCAACATTGGTACGCTCAATTCTGGAGTATGGCAGTCAGGTCTGGAATCCACAATATGACATTTATATTAAGCGTATTGAACGAATCCAGAAAAGGTTCATGTGGCATCTTTCTTATCAGACCCACAAAACTAAGGAACTACATTCATACCGAGATCGTCTTTCTTTTTTTGGTCTGATGAGTCTGAGGGACAGACGATTACTTCTGGACCATATGTTACTTTATAAAGTTGTAAATGGATTAATCGATTGCCCTTTTCTATTGAGTCGCTTGAACTTTAATATTCCTCTCAGGCTCCCTCGTTTGGGCAGATATGTTACGTTTTCGGTGAAGGGTAGTAAAAGTAACCTGGGCCACCATGCTACATTAAATAGACTCCAAAGACAATTTAATCTGTTAAGCAAACAGCCAGAATGCCACGCGGATATTTTTTGCAATAAACCATTGCAATTCAAGCGGGAGGTGCGAGCTCTCATATCTGGACCTGTGTAGCAATATTTACTGTGCCTGTTTTGACATTTAATTTGACATTTTAATCATATTTTAATTTTATTTTTGTTTAGTTGTTATTATTGTCTACATTCTTTATAATTTTAATTAATTTATTGATTATTGCTTTTTTACACTTAATGGATTGAAAATTAATTGTTAGTAATTATATGTATTGACTTGTAATAGTATATGTATTTTTGACTTCGAATAAGTGTATGTAATCAGAAAGTGTTCTGTTATTTATATCCACGTTTGCATGCCGTGGCAACCTATAATTAAGGCAAAATTTAGCATCGATTTTATATTATAAGCACTGAATAATTTACTTATAGACGATTTGTGTCTTGTTGGTTGTCCTATTCAAATAAATAAATAAATAAATGAACAACTTTGGTCGCCTGAATCGGTTTCATCATATGTACACATATATAGGTACATTACACTTTATTGCGTCCTTAATAGTCTAAGAGATCGTGACAAAAATATGCAAGAGCTTTCTAAGGCTTGATATTTCAATATTTTTAAAGTACTAAGGGTATATCACTCAATACCCAGTGCGAGGTCAGATACAGCCGATAGCGGAGAGGCAACGTAATGTACGAAAAATGTAACACATATTAATGGTATTAATGGTGTCAATGTAATTGATTAACGAAAAACTTATAGTTAATAAAAAAAAGTAGACTAAATTGCTCAGCAAATCTCGGAAGTGTGAAAATGAGCTCCGAAAAAGAGTTTCGTAATGGTTGACAGATCATTTTTAGTATCACCTGTCAAATTAATTCGTAAAAGAAAATACTCCACTCTCAAACATATTCATCAATTGTCAGAAGTTTACCAACCACCAGGTGCTCCAGACCCTGACTACTGAGTAATGTTATACCTTTAGTTCTTAAAAATACTGAAATATCAATCTTTAGAAAGCTTTTATAGATTTTTGTCACAAGCTCCTTGTTACCTTACCTTCCATAGAGTCGTTAAAAATATAACTTACCATTTGTGAACTCTCTCGATTCTAAATAATGATGAAGGCTAAATTCTTCAACATCATGTATAATTCTCCCATTCGGAGTTCGCGTCTCATATTTAAGTTTTCCTTTTGTACTCGTTCGACTGTAACATAAACAACACAATGTAATTATTTAACACAAATATTTATCGCATTATCGCTTGAATTATATTAGGAAACACTAACATTAATCAACGACGACCTCCGTAGCAGAATGGTTCGCACGTTTTAAGGTGTTGCCATCTCTGTGGTCCCGGGTTCGAATCCCGGTCGGGTCAATGTAGAATATTTAACTGTCTGGGTATTGTGGTTCTATCGTTGTCTCAGATATTCCATAATACAGGGGCTTTAGCTACTCATCTTGGAATCTGTGCATTGTATGTGATGTAATCACTAGTGACCATGCCAGCGCCTCAGGCTCCCACTAAATGTTAAATATCAGAAAAATACTACATTTTTTGAACGCGTTCATCTTTAAATTCAATAGGACGCATTACTACAAATTTTTGTCACCAAATTGCAGCACTAGCACAACTAGAATAAATAGTTTTATAAACATCGAACGTCATTCATAAAGTAATAAGCATGGTAAGAATTTAATATTTTTTTTTATCTAAGTATATTTTTTATATCATTATTTAAAAAGAGCATAATTTTATCAAATAATACATGATGACGACATATTTGCATGCAAGAAGGAAGAGAAACATACGTTTCCAAAAGAAAAAAATGTTCAAAGAGTTTTGTTTGTTTACTATTTGTGCCAGAGCTGCCATGTACGCGTTTGCGCGATATTTCCTACTGGAGAAAATGGTTATACTTTTATAAGATTTTTCGTCAATCTACCTGACCGACAAACAAAATAATATAGTCATCATCCCTACTCTAGAAACATTTTAACATAGGATTTTTCTCGGGTGTACCCGGGGCTCGGAAACCTTTTATGTGAGGGCTCGGAAACCTGGTTAATATCATGAACCACCTCCTAAAAACTCTAAACATTTTGTGAGAAAATTTCCTTTTAGACCTCGATTTAGATTCAAATTGATTCAGTTCTGATCAGAGATCAAAATAATACCAGTTAACTCTACATGTAGACTTCAGTTACTTCTCTTTCTTAATTTTTTCTCCGCCTCAATTTTTGCTGAAACTAAACCGTGCATGCAAACGAACTTAGAGGTAGCATTTTCGAAAAATCTGATAATAATCCTAATTAACCGGTATGCGTCCCGAGTTTAGAATGTTAAAGATCTTATGATTCAAAACTTACATACATACCACTCAAAATATGAATTCGCAAATACCCGCACGTAGAAGAATATTTGAAATTTTTCAGACTGCCGCCGCCGTATTGAACCGAATATGGTCGACGCCACAAAATTACGATTCATTATTTTCATAGTGATGTATGGTAATCTATACCAAATTCAAAGGAGCTAAATAGCGCAGTGATTAGTGGGAGGTTAAAAAACTTTCTTAAAGGTCAATCATTGGATGGGTGACCAAATATTTACTATACCTAATCCCTCCATCGTCAGTCGGTAATACTCACAAATCTGCATTGGGCAATGAAAGGCCCATGCCCAGCAACAGCGGGAACATCAATAGGCTGGTATGATGTGTTTGAGACAAACTAAATAATTTGAATTTTAAGTCTATCTATAGGTGTTTGCGCCTAGAGGCGCCTTGCGTTTTAATTAGCAAGTCGCCTAAAGTTGCTATTTAATTATAGAAGGCGTTCGTATTAGACGGTGCTTGTGAAATTATTTTTATTATTTTTTCTCCCTATCATAAGACGCACTATGTAAATCGGACTCCACAATAATTTTAATTATCATCAAAATAAATAAGTATATTGTGCTATATTCAACATTTTATTGAAGAACCAGTACCAGTCTTTTGCTTAAACAATAGGGATAGATACTTACTCCATGGGTTGTTTATATAAATACACTCCACGTATGTTTTTCTCTAGAGTTGATTCTTTATTAGCATATTGCAATAATTCAGTCTTTAGTTTTTCTTCAGCATATTTCGCTGTTAACTCAACTCTAGTTCGCATTACATCTTTCATTTCTTCAGGAAGATCAGATTTAAGACCATCCAATAAAACTTGAGCTGCCTGAAAATAATATAAATAACTAATCTATCGAATATGTCCACTCCATTTTAAACCTTAATGTTTAGAAGGTAGAGATTAAAATCGACTGGAAAAAATTGACATATTGTGGTATGTGACGTGCAGCCATGTGAACATTATTAGTAATGTTAATAAAGATCAGTATAAGTTATTATAAATCATACTGAATCTAACAACTTACTTCATCATATTGACCAATTTTATGGAGCACCAATGACTTTTCAGAATACCATTCTGCTTTTTGATGTTGTCTAAATAAGTCTTGTGAAATGAGAGCATCAAGGATATCTAAAGTCAAGTCATATTGCTTAGTCTTTTTTAATTCTTGTATGCTAGTATCCATGATTTTGACATAAAAATCTAATGGTGTAAAACGGAGAAGCCATATCGGGAGAGATTTATACCTGAAAATAGAAGTAGCACAAATAAAACTTGAAAAAAAAAAAAAAAAAAATATAAGAAAGATTATAGCTATTTTTTTAAAACAAAATTGACTCAAGTACGGATTCACCATTAGGGGCATAATGGGCAAAACTCAATAAACTTATATTTCAAGTTTATTGATGTTTAATAGATTAATCCTCAAAGTAATATCTAAAAAACAACTGTTTATCTTACATGATTTGTATGAACCTACTAGCTCTGTATCAAGAAAGCCTAGAACTGACAGTCTGTCGATACTCATAACACTGCCTTTGTTAGAAGACATTTACATTTCCTTTACCATATTTGTACAACAAAATAAACAGTGTTAGATATCCATAACAAAACTTTTTATTCTAGATAAATGGCTACTCACATTTAGTTACACATAAAAATAAATTATGGGAAGCTGATTCAACAAAGGTAACATAATACCAAGAACCGATCCAATGTAGAAAATATCATTTTTCTACATTGACCTGACCAAGAATCAAACCTGGAACCTCACAGATGGCAACACCTTGAAATTATGTTTATTAAACATTATCCTTTGTAGGAATGCAGTATATTGAATAATGTTAAGTCAATTTACTAAGAGGTTGTATCATACTTCAATTGACTTTGCTTAAAAAGTATAAGTTAGTATTCTTTATAAATTGAGTAATTAGTAAACAATATTTACTTTAACATGTCCTCAGCATTATAACTTTTATAATCTTTATATACATTTTTGATGGTATCACATTTTTTGTAAACATCGGTTTCTTGCAAAAAATCTTCATACACTGTAAGTACTTTAACATATCTGAAATTAATAAAAAATATTACAAGAGATGGAAACACTTCACTTCCTGAACAGTCAATCTCTACCCTTCCACTATCCTTAATGATTTTTATATGTAAATATTTCCATCAAATATAATCTGAAATAACTGTTCCTGGAGCTGAGTTCAATACTATTTTTCCTAAGAGCTTATAAATATTCAATAACATAACACAATTAATTTTAATAGTTATAAAAAAAGGTTAGGTACCTCTCAAATTCTTCATTACTCTCAAAAACAACACTGGGACTATCTAAATGTACATTACTGTCAATCGGATAGGTCTCTTTTTTAGTTTTATCATAAAGCAATGTGAGCTCTAATTTTTTTTCACGTATAAGTGTGTAATCTATCCCTAGATACATAAGTATATACAACTTATGAAATGTACTTCGTGCTAAATCTGATAGTCTGTAACAAAGCCCAGCCTTATCAGCCATTCTGAAAAAGTGAAATTAAACTGATTAAAACAAGAATTTAAAAACAGCTTATTAATATTACTGTAAACGTTACATTTTTAATACTCTTCTGGAATTATCTTCAGATCCTCCAGTACAAAAATTTTTAATTGATTTTCGCTTGCTATAACTCTTAAGAGTGTCTATGGCACATTTCTTATTAGTTACATTCTTTAATTTTAGTTCTTTACAAATTTGTATTAGGTCATTTCCACATAAGACAACTGCGTAATCATCAAATGTCATTAGACTGCTAGCTGTAAGAAATATTATTACTTAGTGAAATCCAATAAAATATTGAGAAGCATAGATATAATTTAATTGTAGATAAAAATCCTTTTATCCTAGATTCTAACAGTATAAAGATTTTCCAGTACAATATATAATCCTGAAGATTTTCCAGGCTTCAAAATTACTTTTGTAGTTGTAAAATATAATCCATAATGTTTAATATAATATACACAAGTATTTATCAATAATACACACCATCTGTACTTGGAATAATTAATGCACTATCTGTTAAAGATTTTAGAACAATTAACAATTCTGAGTCATCCAATATCCCTGATTCTTCATTGTTCGCCTTGCCCATTAAAATTTTTTTCACATTTTGCATTTTGTACCAGCCTTCTTTACGCCAATAAAATCTACATGCCAGTCTTAAGCCCGGCTTTACAATATACATACATTTCTCTAGCAATTTTGTAGACTCTTCATTCAGCAAACATTTTACAGACTTATCTTCAAGATACTTATAAATGATTTTAATTAAAAATATTGCTGTAAATGCATAGAATAAATTAGTAAGGCATTTAAAAAATAAACTCATTAGAAAAGTTGAAAGTGCCTACTTACTTTTGTCATCTAAACCTTCACATACATTTTTAAGAAAATTAATATTTTCAGATGAAGACACATTAAATTTTGGTTTAGTTTTGAATAGTTCTTTTCTCACAGGGCTTTTCTGCAACACTGCTCTTTTCTTACTTGGTGAATAATATTTGTTTATGGAACAAGGACTTCTTACTTTTAGGAGTGTTTGAGTTGTAGTTAGGCAATTTGATGTATTAGGTGTTAAGCTTTTAGTAGGAGAAGTTACAGGTGTTGGTGAATAAATCACGGTAGCTTGTGATGAATCAGAAGCGTTATTACAATCTTCTACTAGGGTTCCACTTATTTCAAAACTACTGCTAAAGTCTTCACTGTCACTACACAAATCTATTATTTCATATTCACTGCTGATTTTCTGTGATTTACTAGGTGTTTTCTTTAAACTTAAGGTGCGTTTTTTTACCACTTTGTTTTTTTCATTGAACATGATAGACTTAGATGAAAAAGGAGAGCTTGTCGATTTAAAAAACAAGTCTATTGGCAACTGCTTTGTCATAGTTAGACAGTCAGTAAAGAAATATTTTAAACGTAAATATTTTATTAACTTTATTTAAAGTGATTCAATTCTGTTAGGCACAATCCATATCTTTTTTGGTAGTAAACGGCAGGTAAACAAACTTTTAACCTTAGCATAACCAAAACTATCAAATTGCTCCAATCTATTTTAACCCTTATATTCTCATATATATGATTAAAAATCATTGTTAACACAGCCCGCAGTAAGAAACTGACAGCGATAAGCGATTATTACTTATAAAAATCGAATTAGTCGATTGTTCATCTTAGTCGATAAAACTCGATTACATGATCGATGTTATTCAATTGTTTTTATCAACCAAACCTAGCAGCGGCGGCGGGAGGCAATGATACGCCGCGGTTAACTTAATTAATTTATCGGTAAATTTCTAGCGCAGCGCCATATTACTATACCCGTGCGTACTACTTATGGTACGGTGCAGCAGACGTGCGCTGCGCTCAATGATTGTGATTGGCGCTAATAGGTTGAAATATCATACAAACAAACCATATAATGTACCATCGCTAACCTACTACATCTTTTTAGGGTTCCGTACCCAAAAGGTGAAAACGGGACCTATTACTGAGACTTCACTGTCCGTTCATCCGTCCATCCGTCCATCCGTCCATCCGTCCATCCGTCCATCCGTCCATCCGTCCACCCGTCCATCCGTCTGTCTGTCACCAGGCTGTATGTCATGAACCGTGATAAAAAGACAGTTGAAATTTTCAGATATTGTGTATTTCTGTTGCCGCTACAACAACAAATACTAAAATCTAGAATTATATAAATATTGAATGGGGCTCCCACACAAAAAACGTGATTGTCGCTTCTTTTTTTGCACGTTTCTGATACGAAACCTTTCGTGTGCGAGTCTGATTCGAACTTGGCCGGTTTTTTTGTATTATGTTACTTTTCTGTCTTGTTATTAATAATTCAACTAATTACTAATAAAGTAAGCAAACAATCAACGCAACACGTTTCTTTTTTTTTTGCAACAATCGCTCATCGCTACCTGACAGGTTTCACTCAGTATTGCCAACTCGATATACCTATAAGGCAAGTGCTAGATAATCTCTTAAAAAAGTGCTAGATTCTAGGGACATTCAAAAATAGTGCAAAATAAAATTTTTGAGAAAAAACACAACTTACAAACCTATTTTTTTTTTATTATAAAAATATATCATAACTAAAGCCATTCTTTTTCACTGTTAGAAGCATCTACCCAGATGCTTCTAACTTCTAAGTGGGGTAGCCAAATTGTCATGCCTCATGTCTTCCCATGCGGACCGGACGACGGCTCTCTGATTGCAGAAGTACAATTGTGTTCCTGTTCTCGTGGTTTTGAATCCACGAAGGCTACCTTCTCGCCTTGTCACCCTGTTCGCTACGCGCAGGATGAAGTAGGTATGTATAACGCATACCTGTCAAAATAAAAATAAAAAGTGTTGGATGTTAAAGGCCCCTTAAAATCTAAATTCAATCGTTCAAATGCAGCCGTTGCTTTAATTAGTTTCCCTTCATTCTTTACATATTTAGTTTTTACTTCTGCGCAAATATTTATAAAGTCACAGACATGGGATAACGTGGATGGATGGATAACAAAATTTGTTTGCTAGGGCAATAACTTATGTCATATTTAAAACAAGAAAGTTCCAGACGCCATCCTTCTATCTTTTTGTTTTCTGTCTAACTCGGATGTGTTTGATTTCACATGAAGAATAAAAAACAAAATTTATTTGAATATTAAACGAAAGATCAATAATTGACTTATTGTCAGTAGTTTGATTTAGTTGGATAGGGGTTGAAAGTTTCTATGAAAATATGAGTTCTAAAGTTAGAAACATGATTTTTTTTTTAGACTACATTTAAAAATAGTAAATACCTGTTTCAGTGATTGTAGAAATTCTACTTTTGAAGGAGTGTAATAAGGATTGAAAGTTTACATAGTAAGCTTGTCATTTTTGATGTTAGAGACGAGAAACTTTTTTTGGACCACTGATTATCACTACGTATTATAAATCAAAGTCCCCCGCCGCTTCAGTCTGTCTGTCTGTTCGCACCTCTATAAATAACTATTCGCACCTCTATAAATAACTAATAAGTTATGGAAAAATAAAAAAATTACCGGACGAGCTATTAAATATCGATGAATAAAAACGAACGCCGAAACATATATACGCGAATAACTTCCGAATTCCAGTTCCGACTGCATCAAATTGGATGATTCTATTTTTCGTGTTCTACGATTCATGACACGGTTTGTATATAAGAAGTTCGCCGGGTCAGCTAGTTAATCACTAAATGTCAACTATCTAATCAAATAAAGGTTTTTAAGGTCCTGCAAAATATCACGTAAATTGTTTTTGTAATTTGTGTGTACAAGTGTACAATAAAGTATATGTTACTATTATTACGAGTTAATCTAAATAATCTGTTTTATTTCACACACAACACCATTGGTGCCGGTTGAAAAAAAAAGGTTTTTTTCTTATTTAACGTAAGATTGTATTTCTTGGCAGCTTCCATGAACCTGTATAGATTGATGTCGTGTTCTCGCTTGTCTTTTCCACAGGCAGTAACATCATCTAAGTAAGCAAATGTACCTTTTAGTTTTTCCGTTCGTGTGATACAGTGAAAGGTCTTTGACAAGCAGCTACACCCTTAGTAACGCCAAATAAGATTCATGTCAAGTGGTAAAGATTACCACAGGTTTTAAATGCGGTGTAGATTTTCTCCTTCGGCAGGATAAGTACCTGATGATACGCATTATTAAAATCTATCTGACTAACAGCCAATTGCACAAACGTCTTCGTTCTTCTTGACCATAATTTGTGTAACTGACCGTAAATACATCGGAAAATGGTATGCATCTAGATCTATTTAATGCTTGATCTTCTTCAGAGTGACGTCTAGATCGAATAGCGCTAGGCTTGATAGAAAGCGACAGGTTAGTAAAAACTGATTTTGTTTAAATCGAATCGAAAACGGATCGGAAACGGCTCGAAACCGAACGAAACTAGTTTTTAATGGTTTTCCTATTCTACAAAGTGACATACGATACAATTCCAGTTCTATTTTAGCTGGATCCGTTTTCGATCCGTTTTCGATTCGATTTAAACAAAATTTATTGGTAGAATTGGTCCCCAGGGCGTCAACATTGTGATTATTAAAAGTAATGGAAATTGTTGCCACGCATAAGCTAGAAGAAGCAGCAGCACATATGGAGAACTACTAAACTAGATGGAAAATCTTCGGGTGCATGTTCTGTAGCTACAGCGTTAATGATCGGTTGCGTTTGTCCAGCGCTTCGGCAGACGTTGTAACGTTACGACAATACAGTTTGCTCCGTTTTAAAACGCAATAATGTTCGGGTATGACATGTCCAATAATAAAACATCATTGGTATCGAAGCGTTCCGGAACCAGAGGGCGGAAGAACTTTGTCCTCAGACATATTGTATTCGAAAAACACTTTAAAACATAATAAATTAATATAAGAAAAGACAAAACCAATTTATATACCTACTTGGTTTTATTATGCTTTAAAACAGAGCAAATTATTTAACATAAAGCGATTATAACAATATCAATTTATAGCAGACGTCATCATTTAAATATTACAAAAGTATAAAACTTCTCAGCAAAAAAGTATGATTGCAAACTCAAGGAGTTCGCATCATAAGTCTACTTTAAACATTTAGAATTTATTTATTTATGTTTTAGTGCGCACAAATGAAAGCTTATTTTTTAAACTTTTTTTACTAACCTCACAATTAATAAAAAATACAATGAATTACACCGGACATCATAAGAAAGTTCAGAATTCGCCCTGTTCATAATGTTCATGATGTGTGTGACCTACAGAAATGAAAATCTAGTTGGCTTCAACTAAATATAATTCCTGAAAATTGAAGTTGAATACCTTCATGAAATATGTCGAAAGAACTTAGGATTTCGACAATAAGGTTCAGTGACTTGGGAAAAATTGCAAGTGAGAAAGCTAAGCTGGTAGGTGTACATAAATCAGACTCCCTTCACATTTTGTAATTCGGATTAAAAATTTTAAATTAATCACATTTACATTAAGAATTATATCACTATCATTCACTAGGTACATAGTTTAAATAAGATTGCTAAAGAATAAAGGTTTGTAAAGGCAAATCTATCAGAATGGAATGTGATGAAGGAATGGGTGAAAGAAATGAACCAAGCGTGTGCGCACGCATACTCTACACAACGATCCGTTACAATTCTAATAGACGGAAAACTCGTGATAAAAATGTGCAAAAACTTTTTAAAGCTTGATATTTTAGTATGTTGAAGTACTAAGAGTACATTCATCACTAAATACCCCTGGTGACGGCGAATGAGACCACAGAAAAAACTCGAGAAACACTTTGTCTACACCGTCTACACTCATTTGTCAGTTTCTCGAGTCAACAGTGAGATACATGATAGTATGGGCGCACCGAGAAAAGTGACATTTGAGTGTAGACAAAACGTTCTCGAGTTCGTCATGGGAGTATCATCGCCATCTTTCATTCATTTCATTTTCATTTTACATGTAAAAATTAATTTATTTACTTGACATTGGCAGAATTGTGCGAAATGCGCAGATAAGCCATTAATTAAAAAAGAAGATGAAGAAGAGTTTGTCATGCTACGCGTGCAGGGCATTTATTTTTTCTTAGGCGAGTGTCAAGTTTTCTGAAGCTGTTGTGAGCTCTTTGATCAATTTATAAATATTATTTACTTATTTATTAGTTATGTTTTTATTTTTACAAACTCTTTAATAATATCTATTAATCGACTATATATAAAGTGATGATAACATCAACTTGAATAAATACGTACTTTAAGTTTTGTTTATGTTAAAGGATTTCGTAAAGATTTTTTTTTGTATGAAATATAAAAAATATGCCTGTTAATAAGAAAATTATTTAATTAATATTATTTAAAGTTAAAGTCAAAGTCAAAATAATCTTTATTCAAATAGACTTCTTAAAAGTACTTTTGAATCGTCCAACATTTTTTTCACTACCGCTCGTTCAGGACGTCTTTTGTCTGATAAGAAGAACGAGCAAGAATAAATAATAAAATAAAATATAACGAATCCAGTGAGTATTTTTTTTTATTACTTTCTAAAGGTTTTTTAACGGGGCAATTATAGCCGCTCAATAACACTTATTACATTGGCCATAATAAAAGATTGCACAAACGATGAATGATTGATGTACTTAGTATATATAATATGGTTTTTAGCCTTATTATTTAACATTTCGGGTTGCTTTTAGAATAATTGGACGATTAGCTTATTATTAATAGGGATGTCGACTGGGTAAAAAAATGCAATTCTATTTAGTCCGTCAGTCAGATAATAGAAAAATATTAGACACGTAATTTTTTTACTTCAATTTTACGAGAAATAGCTAAGATAACAGGCATTAAAGTTGAGGAGCGGCGGCTCGCTACGTCACAGTTTAGTAGAAAACGTACCATAACATGACGTCATGCGAAATTTCAATTCCAACCAACGCCGTAATTTTATGATTACGAAAAAAATACGTGTTTAATATTTTTCAACGCTCTACTTGACGGACAAACAAATAAAAATTAGTCGTCAACCCTATTACGATTATCAATAATTGACATAGTATAATATGGTTTTTAGCTATATTATTTAACATTTCGGGTTGCTTTTAGAAAAATTGAACGATTAGCTTATTATTAATTACGATTATCAATTAGGTTACCTACTAAAATTGAAGATCTTCTAATAATACTATAAAGATCGATAATGGTGTTAATTTTGCAGTTCGGCCAGGTGACTGTTTTTATTTTAAGTAGGTAATATTCATGAATAAAAAACTAAAAAAGTAGAACCTAATAAAATTATTAAAATAATAAAAATGTGTTGTTTGTGTTAAAAGAAATAAATTATATTATTAATT